GTTATATCCAACATTCCCCCGATTAGTTAATCTTGAGAGCTGTAATAGTAAAAACGTGCTAAAAGTTTTCGAGGGAGTTCCACATGTAATACTTATTTCATATGCAAAATATGTTAGCCAAAATCAGGGCAGCAAAAATGCCTTTTATTTCTAAATTATGACAATTTTTGATGAAAAAAATCATACAAACATAATAAGTTCACCCCAGGAAACTGCAGTTAGCTCATGATTAGCTCAACATTAGTTAACTACATTAGTTAGCATGAACTAATAATGAACAGCACTTATTAATCTTTGTAAATGTAAATTTCAATATTTACTAATACTTTATTAAAATCTTGTTAACATTAGTTAATGCGCTGTGTACTAACATGAACAAACAATAAACAGCTTTATTTGTATTAACTAACATCAACGAAGATTAACAAATACAGTAACAAATGTATTGCTCATGGTTAGTTCATGTTAGTTAATACATTAAATATTGGACCTTATTGTAAAGTGTTACCAATATTTTTTACTTGTCATGTGCGGGGATTATTAGTTCAAAAGTATTATATGCACTATACAATTCTTGTAGTCCCCAGAATGTTTTTTTTTTTTTCGTGTGTGAAAAATCCAATATATCTTTAAAATATCTTCACACAGACGAGAGAAAGAGGAGTTTGTAAGGACAAGAGGGTGAATAAAATAACTAATTTTAAGCTGAACTATATCTGAAAAAGATAGTTTGGAGCGGCCTGTGCTTTTCTAAGGCTTGTGTTCATTTAAACCTTGAACTATGAAACTATGCAGACAAATTCCAGTTCAGGTTGTGTTATCTAGGGTCAGCGATTTGTTATGACGGCTTAATGCAGTGTGATCATAGCACAGCACAAGCTAAGTCACATGACAACCACAAAAAAGCAGAGCTCGAAACATGCCGCCATCATGTCATCGCCACTTACCTGTTAGCTAACGACTCGCCTTTGCGTTTATCAGCCAAAACATTGAGGGTAAGTGCAGAAAAGTTTCAGGATAAATCTCACAAAAAACATCCAGGTCATCTTTCACTCCCAAATCAATAAGGTTTATAAATTGGTGTAATGAAAATTAAGCTAAAATATGACATTTCTTTGTGAGATTCATCCTTCTGTTCTTAATTGCCTGTCATTAGCTAGCTGTTTAATTTTGGCTCGCATGCTTGTTAAAGTAATGAATGAAATTGTTAATTTTGTAACACCCTGTCTACTAAGATGTCTTAATGTGGTTGCTTTGAAGGCAGGATAGATGTTTTCCTTAATATGTCAAATTTTCTAAATGTATGACTCATTTATACTCACAAATGAGCACTGCAGTCATTAAATTGTCTAAAGCTCACATGAATTTATTATTTTAGATTATTAGACATCCCATTAACCGTGCTTTGGACGCCTGTATGAAACCAGTTCCCTTAGGAGGTGCCTTCATTAACAATGCTGTTTTGAAACTAGGGAGCTTCCTAAAGTTGTGGTCACAATAACAACATATTGAGAAAAATATCATGACAAAATTGTCAATGGAATAGTGATGTATGAAGCAAATCTCACACAGAAGTCACTTTCAAACCAAGCAGTGGTGAGTTTCCCGAAAGCATCTTTAGCCAATGGTCCCAAGTTCCGTCGTTATCTGCATAGTTTAACGAGTCGGTGTTTCCAACGAACATTCGCAAACAGCATCGCAAAGTTGTGTGGTTTGAACGACAGCTCTCGACCTGTGGTTAGAGGCAACATATTTGGATAAGCAAGCTGACATTCAGTACAACCTGTGCCTTTTATTTAGAATACATACAAATGGAATTACTAGTGCTGTCAAACGATTAAAATATTTAATCGCGATTAATCGCATTAATGTCATAGTTAACTCGTGATTAATAACAAATTTTTATCTATTCTAAATGTCTCTTGATTTCTTTTTCTCACGTTATTTTTTTCTCATTTTAATGCTCTTATCAATATGGAAAAGTGGATCGTAGGGGTGTGCAAAAAAATCGATTCACATTTGAATCGCGATTCAATCTTTACCGATTCAGAATCGATTCATAGAATTCCAAAAATCGATTCATAGGCTATATTTTTTAATGGCGTGCAGGGGCGGAGTGGCAATCGGGTAAGTCGGGACTTTTACCGGTGGTCCGGTAGTGTTTCTATGGTTTCGAGGCTGCGAGGGCCGGTCTGATAAATAGTCATTGCAAGTTCTTGCCGCCCGCTGGTCAAACTGTGCAGCCACTCTGCTCAACCCGTAAATAAATGCATCGATCCGCAGATCTTATGTTTGAGTTCTGTAGATCTTTTGCCAAGCGTGTCAGAGGTGACGGGTTCTAAACCGCACTCATATAGTTTTTTCTCTCTCTCATCAAAACGTTTGTGTGCATTTTATTTTGTGATTTCACCGGAGTCTCCACAACGGCGATAGATTGAAGCGCGCGTCCGAGAGAAGACTGCGTGAGCCACAGAGAACACTGTATCCATGACACTGATTGCAGCGGACACGAGCGCTCAGCTTGATTTCAAAAACAACAGGTCTCTTATTTAATAGCGAACTAAATGAATGCTCTGCTAACTGGAGATACCCGCAAATTACGCGCCTATGAACGACTTCACTGGATGTAAACAAATCAATCTAACCATAGATGTTACCAGTAGCGGTGGCTTTTTTAAAATCTATTTAAAATATTTTCGCAAGGGTTCTATGAAATTAGTATATATTTTTAGGAAGTTCAATGTGCCCAGTCGAGTTCACATTTCAACAGTCAACCTGGTAGCTGAAGTACTCCTTAAACCACATTTAGCATAATTGTTTGTTTGATCTGACTATAGCACTTTAAAGCTAAATGTAAAAGCTTTTTATTTAAGTTTTATGGTAACACTTTACAATAAGGTTCGTTAGTTAACATTAGTTAATATGAACTAATAATGAATAGCACATATACAGCATTTGTTAATCTTTGTTAATGTTATTTTCAACATTTACTAATACTTGATTAAAATCTTGTTAACATTAGTTAATGCACCCTGAACTAACATGAACAAACAATGAACAGCTGTATTTTCATGAACTAACATTAACAAAGATGAACAAATGCAGTAACAAATGTATTGCTCATGGTTAGTGCATGTTAGTAAATACATTAACTAATGTTAAATAATGAACCTTATTGTAAAGTATTACCAGTTTTATTTTAAACTTGAATTAAATGTATTTAAAAGCTGGCCAAAGCTTGGCACTTCGCACTTTTTAGTTGCAAAAGTTTTTATTTTTGTATGAAGACATATAAAGTAATATCAAACTTTTCTTTTAAATTATGTCTACTGCAATCAATCACATAGGAAAAAGTAAACTACATTTATGTAGACCTGCGAATCGTTTTTTGAATCGAGAATCGTTTTTGAATCGAAAATCGATTTTGAATCGAATCTCGAGACAAAAAATCGGCATCGAATCGAATCGTGACATTTTCTGAATCGTGCACCCCTAGTGGATCGGCTTGCTTTGTGCAAATGTTTTTTTTATTGAAAACAACATATACAGTGTTCAATTTCACACTAACGTTCTCAATTGGAGCAAATAATCTCTCAATGTAACACTGTCCATCAATAAAAGGGTGAAAGAAATACTGACGAGGTCGTGATATTGACGAGGGGGCGGAGAATTCGCATCATGTGTGTGTGTGTGCTTGGCCATCATCAAGTGGTATTTCAGACTGGACGTACTGCGGTGATGATGCTCAGTTCATGACGACAAAACACACAGATCACTTTGGTCTTGTCAACTGAACCATTTGGGAAAGTAAACTTTCCATTCAGAATCGTATTGGCATCCATTTCGGCGTCTCGCGCTCGTCATCCACTCAAAATGTAACGTTAACCAACTATTTGGCTGGCTCGCGAGCCCAAACAAGTGTGTGCTGCATGCTTTGTTTTGTTTCCGGTCTAGCTAGATCCGCTTGTGCTTTGGTCGACGAAGCAACAAACGTCCTCCATTGGAATGAATAGGTTTCATACCGCAGTGCCACGTCCTGTTGCAAAAGCATATGAAAAAACACTACAAAGTTTGCTAGGCCAAAAAGACCGTTAATCGCGCGATAAAAAATTGACGCCGTTAAAATGGGTTTGCGTTAACGCCGTTAATAACGCATTCAACTGACAGCCCTAGTAATTACGTCTTTTAGTTTGTCAAAAGATTTAAAGTACCGTGTTTGAAGAGTGCGCATGTGCGAAACGTGCATACTATGCAAGAACGAGCCAAATATTGAGTCTGGTAATAAAGCAAAATAACTTTTTGATTAGAAATAGTCCTCAGATGGCATGTCTGTAATTTCAGCCCGTTCTCATCCTTTAGCGTCACATGACAAAACGGCGCTATACTACGCGCATGGCACCCTTTATCGTTAATATTCACGCGAACCCAAGGCGTCATAAATCCTTTATGAGACTACCCTACCCTACCCCACACCTAAACCTATCACAGCACGTGTTATATTAACGATAACGGGTGCCATGTGCGTAGTATAGCGCCGTTTTGTCATATAGCGTTCTATATGGCACTAAAGGATGAGAATGCGTTGGTAATTTATATAAAAAAATCTCGCGTTAATTGGATCTCAAACTGTTTCATTAAAAGTAGTTATTCCTCTACCACGTGCGAAACCAACGTGGTTGAACGATACGTTGCGCCAATGGGTTTCAGGAAACAGTCGTGACTAGCGAGTGGATTTCTTCAACGATGAGAACTACATAGTTGTACGGGAAACACACCCCAGCTTTCTATTGGTCAATCTCACACAACATTAGAGACATAACAGGTTGAATTCCTGGTGGTAAATGTGACCGCACCTTTAGGTTTAGGAAAGCACTGCTACTTCTAGCCTGGACTGATGTAATTGGCTGATAAACATAAGGCGGAGCCTGATTGGCTTGTAAAGAGAAGACAGAGCCTCTGATGTGATTGGCTGGTGGGTGGCGTCCCCCAGCCTCACTTACATCAGTGATAGCGTTCAGAGCCGTGTCTGCGCCAATGCTGAGGTCTGAGCCGGGCACATTGTTGGAGACGGTGGCCGGCACCATGACCATTGGCACACACAACTCCTCATAAATCCCGCGGGCTGCTAACAACTCCATGATCCCCAGGTAGGCCTGCAGGGCAGATCCGGGGATTTAGTGAACCGCTACCGTCGCTGGGAATGAGGATGGAATGAGGGGACAGACAAAGAATGAGAGAGAAAGACGAGGCAAGATTGGGAAGGAACCGAGTGGAAAGCCATGGCCATCACGAGGGAGAGCATGAGACAGAGGGTCCACTCCATACACACACTTCAAATAGAAACACTTATTTAAAATACATACACACATCCTGATGATCTCTGTATAGAAAGAGAGAATATGAGCCTGAACTCAGCAGCATGAAATGACTTTGGAAAAGCAGGTGAGCTATTCTACAACTGAAGGTTATTGTTCAGTCTTTAATGGCATCGTTTGTCATCTCAGCTGGATGAATGTTACGTTTCCGACAGCTGTGATAACCAGTTTTTGCTAAGATGGTGATTATCACCTCATTCTTCAATGATTTTAGATGTTCATTATGAAAAAAAGAGAGGAGCACACAGGAAAACATGATGAAGAGGGCAAGCAACTAAACCAAACTTAGTCATGGACATAACTTGAATGGACTTAAAATTGAGAATTAAAAAATAATAATAATAATATATATATATATATATATATATATATATATAATATTTTTATATTTATGATATATATATATCATAAATATAAAAAAATTAATTTAAAATAAATATTAAAAATATAAAGAAAAATGTAATACTATTTTTCAATAATTAATACAAAATGCAAAAATAAATGTAAAATCCACCTTATAATAATTATATAAAATATTAACAGCAAAGCACATTACTTTTTTTTTAAATCACTCATTAAAATGAGCACCCTGTCAACACACTAAAAATGACTAAAGTCCAGTCTGGAAAACATACCTCAAATCCTCCGATCACTAACAACGCATTGATGTTATACTTCCGCATCTGTTCTGCTATTTTTTCAATGTACTTTGCAGGAAGCGTTCTGGGAATGTGAAAACATTGTAGAGAAACACTTAGCACAACACAGCACATTATTGTCAAAATCGACTGTATTACTGAAATCTGCAGGCAATATAAACTTTGTATGGGATAAATACCGTTTAGTTCCCAGGAGGGATCCACCCTGGCCCGTCCATCCTCCAACATCTGCCCATTTGATCTCTTTTATCTGAGAAAAGAAAGCATAGTGGATCAAAAGTGTTGGACCAACATTTTCATTTAAGGGTGCATCAAAACTTCAAAATGCCAATGAGCAGCTTAGTTATGGGTCGTTTACTCAACACCATTTTCAACTGAAAACGGAAAACTTCTTATGTGTTTTGGATGTTTATTTACTCGACAATGGCGTTTTGTGGGCCTGAAAATGCTATGAGATACCATGATATCGTAACCTGGGTTTCCCCATGGCGATTTTATTCACGCTGCTAGGTAGTCTGGATACCATGGACCAAATTTTCACCTCAGCGAGGGAACTAATCACAGAACAGCAAGACGATGACGACGTCTATGCGACACACCAAAGCAGTTTGTTTATACCTATGGATCAAATATGGCGGCAGATGCGAAGTTACCTTTTGATGCAGACTTAGATTTGTTTTAAGTAGTTTAGAACGCAAATAAATCTCTGAACCATCATCTTCCTCGTCTAATTTCTTTTGCTTTACATACGTCATCTGGTATAATTGTAACAATTGGCTATGAGCGACATACAGGCACATTTGATAGACATTCAAAGCACCCAATAAATGGCTCTGGGCATTCGTAAACCACGCCTCAAATACGAGAAAATGAACATGTGGTTCCACATCTCAATGAGACGTGGTCTGACGTTAGCTAGGCTAATGATATTGTGTATCCAGACCAGAGGTATCATCAAAAGCATCAGCTAGCCTATCGATATGCTGAGGATTTAGCATTTCCAATTTATGTATTCAATTATTATTATTATTATTAGGTTAGGCCTGCTTTTATTATTAAATTAATATTACAATTCATTTGCCCCACAATAATTTCGTAGTAAATCACTGTAAAACCCATGCACTGCGAGGATAATAAAAGATTCGATTAGTTTACTCCTCGATGAAAATTATTTAAAAACATATAGGTCGATTATACAATGAGTTATAGGCCTATAATTCAAATTATTAACAGTCTATAATATGTCTGAATAATGCAATAATCAATCATTAATGAAAATTAAGAACAGCTTTATTTAAAAAACAACTTCTTTAAGAAAATATTTTTCTTCTCATTTTTTTTTCACTACGTATATGGGCTAATAAATTAAGGAAAAACAAAAAAATAAAAACAGTTATATACCGTTATCAGCACATTGAAGTAGGATTTATCTCGTTGTTTTTGAGCCAAAAACAAAGCTCGTCAGTTTTTACTTTTATTTTCTGTAATAATAATAATAATATATATAAATATATAGTTGTAACATTTTTCTTTAACACCAATTGCCAAATGATGGACAACGGTTCCCTTTTCCCGTGAATATATTAAACAAATGATTAAACAAAGTGAAAGTGAAAAGTAAAATTATAATTATAAAGAGGTGCCGGTGTATATGAACGGTTTGGTATGGTTTGGAAGACGTGGGTAATGTGGTTTATCCATTTTGAACCACAAACTGGAGCTAAGCAACAGTTTGCTAAATTGCAGTTAGTTTGACAGCAACAAAACTTAAAGATCAACCTCTTTTGTGTTTCTTTCTTGCTGCATTAAAGACGAATTAATGCAGCATGAAAAGATGAATACTGGTGAATATTTTATTAAGGGTTGGAGGGCAAAACTCTGCAAGACAGGGCAACTCCAGGAACAATGTTGCCCATCCCTGCCTTAGAAATGCAAATGGGATAAATGTGATCACCACTCATGTGCTTTCTAAATGTACTGGTTTATTGGATTAGACTGAAGAGATCTTAATGGAGGTCAGCCATGGATGAGACTTCTCTTAGCAAACAATAACTCGATGTTGCAGGGCAGTGCAGAAAATACGATTTTGAAGCTATTGATAATATCACATGAATTTGACGAGACACTGCTTACTCTACCCAAGTTTGTAATCCTCCTTGCGTTTGTAATAAGACGATTAGTGGATCATGTCTGTATCTACACCAGGGCCCAGCTTATGTAATGAAATTAGTTGCTCTGTGTTTATCTCAATTTCTCCAACAGCTCTCGGCATAAGGCTAATGGGATTACCCATCGCCCCCTATCAGTACACAGTGGTACTACAGTGGCAAATTGGTTTATGTTAATCCAGTCGTGTTCTTCGTCAGAGCAAAGAGCAGCAGTGCAGGGCTAGAGGTGGCGACACTGCTGTCTGCTCTTAATGCTATTACAGAAACAATACAATCAGCACAACTGGATGTGAGTGTTAATACATCGTTTGTGTATGTGGCCTGTATAAGGAAGCTTCATATCCTCTATATAAAGGAGACTTCATATCCAGAAGTCTCATATCCTCATCAAGGCTGCATTTATTTGGCTACCAAACTACAGTAAACACATTTGTCAAATATTTATATATTTTAAAATGTAATTTAATCTTTTGATAGTAGTATTAGTATTAAAAGGATAGTTCACTTTGAAATATTTTTTTTTTTGTATGTTTTAGCTTACCTCGAGGGCATCCAAGATGTAGGTGTCTGGTTCTACAGTAGTTTTATTTATTTATTTTTTTAGGTCAAACTGTTCTTGTCTGTCAGTCATATAATGGAGGTCTATGGTCACCACCTCAAAGAGCATGCACATAGAAGTCCAAATTAAACATGATTTAATGACTCGTAAATGTAAGTACACATTGATGGCCTAAGACACGAAACGAGCGGTTTGTGTGAGAAAACGAACAGTATTTATTAGGGCTGGGCAAGTTAACGCGTTATTATCGCGTTAAAGTTATAGACAATTCAACGTCGGCAACGGGCGGGCATGTGCACGTGAGTGAGGTGAGCTTGACCGCAAGCTGATTTAAACCTACGCCTGAGCAGCCTCTACATTGGTTTTCATTTATACTTCTGCGTCGTTGTCCGCGTTGACGCGCAATTATGGGCGCATGTGAAACCCGGGGAGTGGTTCTAGCAATCACGCTCGCTTGCGGTACGCGTATTGACGCGTTGTTACATTTTTGGAGAGGTGCACGTCAAGGTACGCGTGCTACACACAGGCTACGGCGTAAGTTCGATGCAGAAGTATATTGGGCTTTACCTCTGTTTACTGCAGCCTAATCTTAGTGTACGTGAGAAACCATGGCATGTCCAAACATAAGCTACTATGAGAGAAGTAACGTTGGTCAACTTATATCTGTAGTAGTGGTCATGACCTCTGGCTACATTGACTGTTTCTGCTGCTCCCTGATAAAAAGATACCTGTTGATACCTGTTCAGAAAAAAAAAGAAAAGAAAACTGGACTCGTTTTAACTAGATAGAAGGTAATCCCCTGTGCCAAACTGCCAAATAGCTTTGTTTTACTATTTGATTTGATTACATTAATGTTTAAGTTGAGATTTACAATAAATATTTTATTGCTACTGTGTAAAGATAATACTGCTGGTATAAAGCACCTTATTTGTTTCAAGTTTTTGCAAACCACATGTTATTGCACTTTTATGTATATAGTAGGGGTGGTTAATCTGTCTGATTTCCCGATTCGATTCGATTACGATTATTGAAGTCCCGATTCGATTACAGTCGATTTTCGATTATTAACGATTCTCGATTACCGATTATTGATTTTCCATTTCACAACAGTAAACGAAAATACACTAGATCAACATATGATTATATTAGCAGCAGCAACATTTTGGTATTAATTGCACTTTTTATTTGTTTGATATTCATTGAAAATATAATGATGGTTAGTGGGGACATGCAAACATGCTTGTTATCTACTACTTAGGCAACTCATTATCTTTACATTTATTAACTTTACATTTTTTTTCCAAAAGCAAAAGCAAAAAATTTTTGCATTATAATGCAAATGCACCTGGTTCTATTAATTGACAGCATTAAAATGTATTTTGTGATTTCCTTCAATTGAAAATATTTGAAGCAAGTTTGGGGGACTTGAAGGGCACCCGATTCAGAGAATCACCTAGAAATTCAATAGAACAGCATTTATCTGAAATAGAAAGCTTTTGTAACATTAAACAATACCGTTCAAATGTTTGGAGTTGGTAAGAATTTTTATTAAATTTTTTGGGCAAAAGAAAAAAGAAATCTTTACTTTTATTCATCAAGGATAAATTAAGTTGATCAAAAGTTAAAGTACAAGACATTTATAATGTTACAAATCGATTATCTGAATCTTTTGTGTGTGACTATAAATAATTTGCTTTAAAAGTACAAATTAATGACCCATAAAGAATTAATGCACAATATATTTTATTAACATTACAAAGAACGACCAGGAAAATAAATGTGTGCTTGAACTAGCATACTTGTAGTAAATAAATAATATAACGACTGGTGCAGCCGAGTGTTTTTCCTCCTCTGGCTGGAAAGGTGTCATATGGCTTATCATATTTGTCGTGTTTCCGTCGTTGGTTTTATTCCACAAAGCGTACAACTAGTGCGGCTCTTGTCCAGCTCCTTTCCCCCTTTAACTTCAGAAGCCAAAATATTTCCACACGTCAGCTTTTAACCTAACAAGGAAAGTGTTTGGATCTCGCGTTCCATCGGGTCTCTGTTATGTGCACGCCACAGACGGTCCCGCCACTGCACTTCCGCGCTTCAGAGTTCCGTCTTTCGCGTTCCGTCAATATTACGTTATTATAAATACATATCAAAAAAAAAATTTTTTGAAATCGATTTTTTGACATTTGTGAATCGATTCAGGATCGTCCACGTCCGCATCGCGATGCATCGAGAATCGATTTTTTTTCCCCACCCCTAGTATATAGCAGTACATTTAAATCAAAAGTGTGCAATACATTACGTTAAAATTCATTATTCAATTTTCTGTGTAACAATGCGATTAATCGGAAGAAATCCATGCGATTAATTGCGATAAAAAAATTAATCGTTGCCCAGCACTAGTATTTATATCATATATCGTAAGCGAAGTGATCTCTCGCACGTGTACGTCACTCATTATTTACACAGAGATTTCGGAAGTGTTACCTTTCACTGTGAAGACCTAAACATATTTAGAAACAGGAAATCGCAATGGAGAACAATTTCTATTTATCAACAGACAACATTTAATTATTTTTTTTCGCAACTGCGCAAGAGAGATCACTTCCGCCGCTTTCCAGCGCTTGCGCACACCGAAGCGCACACACTCTTAGATCACTTGGACATGGCTCTGGTTACGAGAAGTAAAAACTAAATAAATACTGTTGGTTTTCTCACACAAACCGCTCGTTTCGTGTCTTAGGCCATCAATGTGTACTTATATTTACGAGTCATTAAATCATGTTTAATTTGGACTTCTCTGTGGATGCTCTTTGAGGTGGTGACCATAGACCTCCATTATATGACTGACAGACGAGAACGGTTTGACCTAAAAATATCAAAATTGAAACTACTGCGGAAACAAAGACACCTACGTCTCGGATGCCCTTGAAGCTAAAACATACCAAAAATTAATTTCAAAGTGAACTATCCCTTTAAAAAAATTTTTTTAATGTTTTTAAAGAAGTCTTATATCCTCATTAAGGCTGCATTTATTTGGCTACAAAAATACAGTCAAAACATGCATGTTAAATATTTCTATACTTTAAAATGTAATTTAATCCATGATCCTGATTTCCTGCTCAAAAAAATCATTTTTATCAATGTTGAAAACTCATTCTGCTTAATATTGTTATAGAAATATTTTGACATTAAATGTATTTACTATATTTTGATAAATTGAATATAACCTTGATAATAATAAAAGTAATAATAAAACAAAAAAACAAAAGGAACAAATGTTTAACTAGCATACCCCCTAAACAACTTTTATTTTAAATGTTATAATACACACTAAATAATACCATATTCTTCTTTTAAGAAATTGCTAAAGCATCTATGTTTTTATCCTCCATCCTACTACATCTTATTTTATACATTTAAAACACACATTTGGCCCTTGGCATTATAAACAGCTTCCCTTTGTGGTCCAAGTGGGACAAGATTTAGTTCATATGTAAAGATCGTTTGTGTTTCATGTGTTACGACCCCCATAAAACATTGTGTTTAAATCCTACTGGATGATTCTTAAATACTAGAATAATATTAAAGTAAATATTTGTTTACCTGTCCCTTATAGAATCCTTCAAAACCGTCACTGACAGCAAACATTTTGTGTCCCTCGGAGATGCCCACTCTGACAGCCGACCGCACGGCTGCGTTCATGCCCGCCGCGGGGGCGCCCACGTTCAACACGGCCACGTTATAATTGCTCTGAATGGGGGAAGAAGACATAATATTGCTTATTACGCTGACAAATATGTCAATATATTACATTTAGGTCATTTCTCGAGCATTTGCTTGTACATGGCTTCAGCTATATTACTGACTTATGTTCAGTTGTCTATAATAAATACAGCAAGCGTCCTGTTGGATACATGTGGGCTGATGTGAAGAGCAAACTAAAATGGTCATATTCATTTATATAACTAGCACGTATGTCTATATATTTGTGGCCTTGTGCTTCTTGATCATCCGCATGTTTTTGTGTTTACCACTCAATGCCTATTAGGAATTCAACAATGTTTCCAACCAGCCGTTGGCATTCATCAATCTGTTTTCCATTCCAACAGGCGCAGGGTAATTTGGTCTTTCGTTAACTCGACACACGGCCCGGAGCATCAGAGAATGATTATTGACTAAACACTTCTGGACAAGCGGCCCTTTTGACTTTTCTGACTGTAGCAGCTTTTCCATTCGAGACTCCTTTTCTCTACGCAAGGCTTTTAGAAAAGCAACTGAAAAGATACTAAGCATCGACGCTTCCCAAAAATAGCTTAAAGTTATTTAAAATAAGAAATGACAATTTTTAAAGTAAGCTTAAATGGCTAAAAATCCAGATTCTTATTTAAACATGTTGTATGTTCTGATTAAATATGCAAATGATACATGATCTATTTAAATATGCACTAGTTTGCATACATTTCTAAAGCAGAAATCTGAAAATTGGATGAAGCCAGGTTCAAAATCCAATGGTTTTGCGTGTACACTCTTTCCTAATGAGAATTTTTCATGGAATCATTAATGCCGGGTTTTCATGGTCTTGGAAAACCTGGATGGAATTTTAAAAGTGTTATATTTAGAAAATATATTTTTATTTGGAAAAGTCATGTAAATGTCTTCATGGAACAGATTGACTGGACTGGAGTTGAAAATTAGCAATAGCTATAAACTATTTTTGCATAGCATCAGTTACAGACTTGTTTTGTACTATTTTTAATGTCAAATAAATTAATAAATAAAAAAAAATATATAAAAGATTAAAATATTATTTTTTTTCTAGTTATGTCAAGCTTAAACATTTTCCTTGAAATAAACTGTTGAGACTGTTGAAAATAATTGTAAAAATTAATTGGTAATAACAAGCATAAACCTTGAAGAAATCAGTTATTGAAACGTCTGGAATTATGGGATTTATTTATATGAATTATTGTATTGTTTTATGCTCAACGCAGACCATTTATGGAATCTAAGCTGCAGAAACTTGTTGCCACCATGATGCTAGTGTCTCATGGATGCTTGTCAGGGCATTGCTATGTAGTTCCTATGGTGTTCTGGGAGAGTCCATTACAAAAATGACATTATATTCTGGTCTCCAAACATAGCTTGCTTCCTTAAATATGAATTCCTATTGTTGTTTTCTCAGTTTTATCATTCACTGAACATTATGATTCCGATCACTTAGATCAAAATAAATGCTACAAAAAATGTGCCTATTGTGGCATTGAGATAATATTAGCAAGAGAAGAGAGCTAAAAATAACTATCCACAAGCAGAAATATTCACGCCGGATGTGTGACAGGACTAATTAATCTTGGTTTCCACTGGAAACATCTGCTAGGGGTGGCATGTACTGAGGGTTGTGAATAGCTAAGTTTGATCCAACGGCATGCTGATGTCAGTCGACAGAGGTGTTGTTGTGTTAAGATGGGGTAAAAGATCACCCGGGTAAAACAAACACGGCATCCCTCTCACTCACGTGTGGAAGTTCAGACTCTGGTTTACGGTGAGCCAGCAGTTTGTAAGTCCTCAGGTTGTTCTCAAAGCTCCTGCATTTACACACAAACATATACGTGTTATTCTTATTATCTAATGCGATTTAAGAGTTATATTTAATGGTTAAAATGAATACAACATACACACTACCGTTCAAAAGTTTGGGGTCAGTAAAAAATAGAAAACAGTTATTTTGCGATGCCCATTTGTACTAAGGGGCCTAAAGTGTGCCAAAAAAACATTCCCACACCATTACACCACCACCACCAGCCTGCACAGTGGTAACAAGGCATGATGGATCCATGTTCTCATTCTGTTTACGCCAAATTCTGACTCTACCACCAATCGAGACTCATCAGACCAGTCAACATTTTTCCAGTCTTCAACTGTCCAATTTTGGTGAGCTCTTGCAAATTGTAGCCTCTTTTTCCTATTTGTAGTGTAGATGAGTGTTACCCGGTGGGGTCTTCTGCTGTTGTAGCCCATCCGCCTCAAGGTTGTGTGTGTTGTGGCTTCACAAATGCTTTGCTGCATACCTCGGCTGTAACGAGTGGTTATTTCAGTCAAAGTTGCTCTTCTATCAGCTTGAATCAGTCGGCCCATTCTCCTCTGACCTCTCCCACAGGACTGCCGCATACTGGATGTTTTTCCCTTTTCACACCATTCCTTGTAAACCCTAGAAATGGTTCTGTGTGAAAATCCCAGTAACTGAGCAGATCGTGAAAACCAACAACCATGCCACGCTCAAAATTGCTTAAATCACATTTCTTTCCCATTCTGACATTCAGTTTGGAGTTCAGGAGATTGTCTTGACCAGGACCACACCCCTAAATGCATTGAAGCAACTACCATGTGATTGGTTGATTCGATAATTTAACAGGTGTAATAATCCTTTAGGTGAGTGTATTTCACTGTATTTTTGATCAAATAAATGCAGTCTTGGTGAGCGCAATTCTTTCATAAAATCTTAAAAAAATCGTACCAACCCGAAACTTTTTAAAAGTAGAGTGCATGCTACTCGCAGTCAAAGTTAAACTACAGTCAAGCTACTAAAAGTAGCAAAGTATCAAACTAAATGCAGCAAACAGACCTGCCACGTAGCCGAACTGCCTCTTCAAATTTCTTCTCATCCATGGCCTTCTGCACCTGCTGAGTCTACAAGACAGAAAAAGCAGTTTCATTAGAATGATATTATGACATGTGATTTGTTGGAAACACTGTCTGGGTCATTTTCATATCAACATCGAAAGAAAAAAACAATAATTTCCACAAAGAATCTGAAACTAATGTTAAATTAAATTACTATAATGGAAATCAACCTGTCCAGAGATAATTTATTTAATTATATTTTTGGTCCCACTTTATATTAAATGGCTTAAGTACTACACACTTACATTGCAATTAGTCATTTGATACAATGGACTTATTGTGTACAGACCATTTTGCAATATGTAAACAACACTGGTCCAGAAACACTTCCTGTTTCAGTTTGTAACATGTAAATAAAACATCTTAAAGATATTTGTTTAACTTTTTGATTCAGTTTTATATGTTCTGTTGGTTGTATTTTATCCCAGCTTTTATGTAGTGTTAAAAATCTGAAACAGGAAGTGTTTCTGGACCAGTGTTGTTTACATCTTGCAAAATGGTCTATGTTTTTACATTGTACTTATATTTTGAAAATACTTGCATGTAATTAATTTATTTAATTACACTGTTGCCTCTTCCCTTACACCTTAACCTACCCTTAAAGGTGCCATATGTAATAATTGAGGTAACAATATACGAAAAATGAGCTACACGCATCAAAAGAATGAGAAGAAATAAGTGCAAAGATGTCATTAAAAAACTGACAAGTTATAGTGCTGCCGAGATATTAACCTGAATTAGCATGCTAAATTACTAGCCCCGGCCCGGCAGGTATCGTAATACCAGTTCCGGCCATGGGAGGCGGTATGCGGACGGGCAACGTTAGCACCAGCCAAACTGCAATAGACGAGTGAGTCGCGCTCGCGCCGGCTTGTGTGTGTACTTGAACCTGATGTCAGTCGTGTGGAAATACAGCCAATTACTACATTTCAGTTCAGGGAAGAGTTCAAAAAATGATTGGTCGACATTATGCATGAGGAATACATTTTGGTAAGTTGTAGCATACTGTATCTTTCACCAGTGTTCGTGTTCTTTTTCCAGCTAGTAGAGACGATCGGTTCACGTGCGCTAGGGATCTGTAGTGTAACATGTACAAGCGCCAAAACGGTATTTATTCTTTGAATTGCGTAATATAATTGACAGAATCTGAGAGCTTAACTAACCTGCTTGCTAAGTGTCAATTGCGTGTGTCTCACGGTGAATTCACGGCGCTAGCTTGATCAACATCAGCGAATGCTGTCTGTCAAATTAATTCACTAACAATAAAAGTGTAAAACGAATACCATAAACTTCAAATAATTGCCCAAGCTTTTATTTTCCCATACCGTCGAAATGCACCAGCTTGTTTTTGAGATCTATGAGGCGGTCTTCATCATTTAGTGTTGAGATTCATAGTGTTTAGTTTAGTTCACTCTAGTGTTTAGTTCATTGAGTCTCTGATCTCTAAAAATCTCCAAATGTTCCACGTGAAACTGCGGTCTTCCAACCTTTTACTATCATGTCAAATGATTTGAATAACATGCGCGATGGTAGGAGCACAAGTCATTTTTTGGAGGTATACTGCCCCCATCTGTTATGGAATATGGAGTAGGATTTGATTTATGATGTTAGATGGCACCTTTAAACCTACCCATACCACCACACCTGTCCCTAACCTTACCCGTATCACACCTCAATAGCAGCAAAAGTGTTATACAATACAACAGGAACCCAATGGGGGCTGTTCACACCTGGCCACTTCATGCGTTTTCTCAGATCGGATTACTCAAAACGATTCCATTTACACCTGCTCACATACATGTGTTTTTGCAAAACGGATATAAATCCGACCTTCAATTCCCGCGCAATATACAGATTTAATGAAGCGCACGTCACCGAAAGCAACAGATATGAGCTGAATTTTATTGATCATCGGCTAATTTCAAAATCAGCAAAGACAGCTATAAGAGAGAGCGGCAACAGCCCTGGTAAAGATCAGTTCATTTCTTTACTTTTAATGAAGATGGTAGTGTTAATCGTCTGCGTCTTACTTTCACTTTGATTTGCGATAGATTGCGGCGCGTTGGCTTGATAGGCGCTCAGCTGCTCATCTGAGGTGATGCGCGTCGCAGTAGCGTCGTCATATCTGACTAAAATAACATGACATATGGCCTATAACACGCTCTCACACGTTTATTTTTTAGCATTTTTGGGAGGAGTAAAATTTACATATGTGGTTTCAACAACCAGATGCATTTACAGATGTCCAGTTTCGTCTGGAATGAGGCCCAGACCACCTTCTGATGTGGTTTGACCGATCGGATTCAAATCCGTCTCAAATGCGTTTCGGGGGGCATTTACACCTGGTCTTTTCACGATCGGATAGCTATCCGATCACAGAAAACGCATGAAGTGGCCAGGTCTAAACGGCCCCAATAAGTACATTGTAAATACATAGTACTTAAAGCCACTTAATATAAAGTGCGACCATATTTTTTTTATAATTGAAAAAAAAATATATAATTTTATTTTTATTTAATTAGATTTAGTTATTAAATATTTAAATGCAAATAAATATAATTAAATTCAGCTCATAGCGATGCAAATGCCAGAACGATTCATGAGTGCGGCAGTAATGCAATGCTCTCATTCCTCTGCTGAACTGCGTGAGCGTGGATCTTTATTATCACAGCACTAAACCCGATGTGGCGTCCGTCCAAGCCTTACCATCTGCACACACTCCATGAGGGGCAGCCGCACAGACTGGTTCCCACACAGAGACACCACGCAGGCTGGCGTGTTTGCAGTGGTCTCAAGCAGCGCCAGAACCGCCTCCACACCCATGCGACTGGCCTGACAACAAACACAGCATTGCAATCAGTAGTGCTCAAATGCAATCTTCACTTTATGCATAGAAATAGTTTCATATGACAGAAAATTCCATTTTAAACTTAGGGATTTACATGTGGTTTCCACCCAGCACTGAGAATGCTTACATAATGTACTCAATTAAGATATGTTTTTGTATGTTATTTGTTTAAGAAGACTGTGTTTGTCTATTGCTATTGCATGTTGAATCCAAGGGTTATTATAGTTTTCCTTCTGTAAGTGTTGTTTGTGTTAATCGACAGCATGCAACATAATATGTACATAAACATAATGTTGAAAATAAATGGAGCTCTTAGGAAAGAAGCGCTCTCTCTTTTCCGGCATTATTTTTTTTTTCTCAGTTCCCCAGACACTTTAGAACAGCGGAGAAATTGCAGTGTGTGGACATGAAATCTGTTTATGTAATGAATGTAAGCTCCCCACAACCCTCCTGTTTTTATCCCTAAGAGTTTCTCACCAGAATCCTGTCAAATGCCGAGGGGGTCCCTCCTCTCTGGACGTGGCCCAGGATGGTCACACGCGTGTCGAAGCCCAGACACTGAACCACCAGCTGGAAAAGTAAATAAAGACTTAAATTATAGGAATCAAGGGGATTTAGAGGTTTTAGGTCATATTTTGTCAACAAAACTTCTTGTCCATCACGCAAGATAACATTTAATTCCAAATAAAGCAAATGTCTATGAGCATTTTGAATTTTCAGTCCAACATAATCATCATTACTTCATAATGTTTATAAATCTTACAGTAATATATATATATATATATATATATATATATGAAGAGTTCAGATGCAAAAGCCTCTAAATGCCATTTGAAATTTTCTTCTTTAATGATGATTTTTTATCAAACTTGTATATTTAAGTTCAGTAATTTCACTTAAATTGCAATGATAATTACCTATTAATTGTTATTTAAGTGAAATTACTGAACTTAAATATATAAGTTTGATAAAAATCATCATTAAAGAAGAAAATTTCAAATGGCATTTAGAGGATTTTGCATCTGAACTCTTCGGTTATATATATATAAACCCAAAACTGAAGTCAACTCAAAGATGTTAAAGCTTAAGCTTTGTGTTAAGAACAGATAACAGTTTAATAATAGTCCATGAGTCGTATAGACCACTTTTATAGTCTAAAGTTAGACGGCCCCTGGACACCATCCACTTTCATTGTACTGTATTTAAAAGAGCTGTTAACCTATAACACATATAGACATTAATGAGTGAGTAAATGATGCCAGAATTTTAATTTGTGGGTGAACTGTTCAATTATATGTAGGGATGCACCGAAATGAAAATTCTTGTCCGAAACTGAAAACCGAAAAAGAGAAAACCAAGGCCGAAACACGAAAGAAATTATGCCAATTATTAGTATCATTGCATTTATGGCTATGACTGTGTACAACCTTTACTAAAATCAAGGCATTGCAATTGTATAAATTCATATAAAATTTTCAAAGAATAAATCAATTACAAATTATGCAAATATTTATTTATCACAATGCACAGTATAACATAAGATTCAAACTAAAATGTTTTTTACCCCACTCATGTGTACATTAAATAATAATATACTGGCCTGCAGGTTTTAAAATGAAATGTTCTCTCATAAAAACAAAGCCGAGCGCGAACTTCTCATCAGACCAGTACCCAGTTTGCACGTCTAAATTACTGTAGTTGCTTACATTTTAAAAATTTAGCATACAATAGCATAAAAAGCCTTTTTAAATGAACAAAGGTCCATGTTTAATACAAATGTACATAACATGTTTAGTGAATGTAGAAAATATTTAAGAGAGCATTAATTTAGTTCTATACATACATGTTCCCATATACATATTTTCTTGTAATTTCACATGTAATAATATCAGGGTTTACTGGGTTTTATATGATTATTTTTGTATTGGTGGTGGAATACTAAAAATAAACTTTGTCATGCGTTTATCTTTCTTCTTCTCGCCGATTCCTAATGGTTTGAGGACAGTTAATTGAGTCGTCCCGTCGTTTCAAGGAATAGTACAACGTCGAGCGGGTCAAGTATAAACGCCTCGACCGTTTGGAGGGTGCGCGCGTTGTCTGTGGAGACGTGCGCTGTCTGTGGAGACCAGCATGTGCAGGTCGCGGCTTCTGTTTGCGTCATCACAACATTTCGGCCGTATTGTTTCGGTGATAAAAGTCTTTCGGCCGAAAACCGAAAATGCACTTTTGGGCCAATTTTCGGTGGCCGAATATTCGGTGCATCCCTAATTATATGTTTTGCTGAATCTGATTTCTTTTTTTTACAGTATAAAGTCATTTTATGATAAACCGAAGTACAAGCACAGAAGACACAAATCAGTCATAGTATTACATGCATTTTGCAGAAAGATTCACAAGAAAGCTGCAACACACATGCAAATTAAGAGATTTAGCATTAATTGGTGAAATCAGAACACCGTCCCATGCTAGTCAGTAAATTAGAACCCATCTTTTTAGCGGTTAGTGTTAGAGATGGTGCTAAACATTGTAAATAATTCAACTCCTGCAGGACCTTTTTCAGGGTGAGGAAATGTACTTAGTTTCACTATGAATAACCCGAAAAAAGAAAACATAAATGTTTCCACAAGCATGACTAAAACTAGATTCTTACATTGTCTGTCTGAAGAAAATTCCCATATTTCTATGATATTTTGTCCCATGATAAGGCTTAGGCTCCCATACATGTACAGTAGTTTCTGATATTCTGGAAAGTTTATGTTATTTATTTTTTGTTGTAAGTGTATCATTCATGTCACTTGCACAAATAAAGTGAGACAATTTTGGCTATTTGTGTTAAGGAATAATATGAGCAATGCTAATAGTAACGCTTACCTAATGTTTCTTGTAACACAAATTATTCTAAAGAAAAGAACAGATAAGACTGAACTTTAAAGCACTACAAAATGTGCATGCTCCTGCTTCGGGTAGCATTCAAAACACGTATGCACTGATGCCGTGCAGTAGTTACAGTAAGTAGAGGATAGCCATAGCTGGTTATGTTCGAGGTGACCACATGTGCCTTACCAGAAAACAGTGTGGGTGTGTTTAAGCAAACCACACAGGACAAAGCCAGAGAGGGAGCACACACAGAGCTCAGAGAGGTCAGGGATCAATGCAGGAGCTGGATCTCTATACACCATGTACTTACATTCTTTACATGTTCTGAGGTAATGGGCTGGTTGTTACGATCAATCGCACCTTCAGCTACTATTATGATATTCAGCCTTTTCATTCCTGCCCGTTTCTATGAGGGTAAGAGACAGGTCACAAACTGATGACAAAAACAACGGGAGAGATTCAAAAAGCTGGAATTGAGGCTGCAGAAGTGGCCCATGAAGTAAATAGACACTTACTGAAACACCATTTCTAATGAAGCAACTTTTGCTCAAGTTGCTCAAAGTAATGACAGTGGCTTGCTCCATGCAAGACTACCTCACCCAGATCTTTAACCACCACACCACACAACACAGGAAGGTGCATTCTTTCTAGCAGCAATTCAATTAAATTGTTCGCCAAGTCATTGTACTTTTGGTCAAGGACTCCAAATGGCTGCCCTGCCTACAAGTTGCTATATTGTTGTTCTATGTCCCAAAGTCGATGTGCTGTTGGTCAAGCAGTTTCTGTACTGTTGAACATGGTCACCAAGTCGCTAAACAAGTTGCAGTACAGTTGGTGAAGGCCTTAAAATACTATTGGTCTGCAAGTTGCTGTACTGTAGATTGAGGTAACCAAGCCACAGTTCATATTTCATTGGTTGAGGTTTCCGAGTTGCTATACTTTTTGTTGAGGTCACCACATGGCTGTGTTGTTGGTCAAGGTCTGGAATTGTTCGCCAAGTTGCTGTACTTTTGGTTGAGGTCGCCAATGTCCTATACTGTTGGTCAAGGACTACAGGTGGCTGTGCTGTTGGATAAGGTTTTAAAGTAGCTATACTGTTGATTGAGAAGTTGCTGTACTGTTGATCATGGTCACCAAGTTGTTACACTTGTGGTTATCGTCACCAAGTTGCAGTACTGTTAGTGGAGATCTCCAAGTGGCCGTCTATACAATGTTGGTCGAGGTCACCAAGTTGCAGTACAGTTGGTCAAGGTCTACAAGTCACTATACTGTTGTTCAAGGTCCTCAAATGGCTGTGCAGTTGGTCAAGGTCTTAAAGTCAATATACTATTGGTCAGCAAGTTGCTGTACTGTAGATTGAGGTAACCAATTCACTGTTCATATTCCATTGGTTGAGGTTTCCGAGTTGCTATACTTTTTGTCAAGGTCACCGCATGGCTGTGTTGTTGGTCAAGGTCTGGAATTGTTCGCCAAGTTGCTGTACTTTTGGTTGAGGTCACCAATGTCCTGTACTGTTGGTCAAGGACTACAGGTGGCTGTGCTGTTGGACAGGGTTTTAAAGTAGCTATACTGTTGTTTGAGAAGTTGCTGTACTGTTGATCATGGTCACCAAGTTGTTACACTTGTGGTTATCGTCACCAAGTTGCAGTACTGTTAGTGGAGATCTCCAAGTGGCCGTCTATACAATGTTGGTCGAGGTCACCAAGTTGCAGTACAGTTGGTCAATGTCTACAAGTCACTATACTATTGGTCAGCAAGTTGCTGTACTGTAGATTGAGGTAACCAAGTCACTGTTCATATTCTATTGGTTGAGGTTTCCAAGTTGCTATACTTTTTGTCGAGGTCACCGCATGGCTGTGTTGTTGGTCAAGGTCTGGAATTGTTTGCCAAGTTGCTGTACTTTTGGTTGAGGTCGCCAATGTCCTATACTGTTGGTCAAGGACTACAGGTGGCTGTGCTGTTGGACAAGGTTTTAAAGTAGCTATACTGTTGATTGAGAAGTTGCTGTACTGTTGATCATGGTCACCAAGTTGTTACACTTGTGGTTATCGTCACCAAGTTGCAGTACTGTTGGTGGAGATCTCCAAGTGGTTGTCTATATAATGTTGGTCGAGGTCACCAAGTTGCAGTACAGTTGGTCAATGTCTACAAGTCACTATACTATTGGTCAGCAAGTTGCTGTACTGTAGATTGAGGTAACCAAGTCACTGTTCATATTCTATTGGTTGAGGTTTCCAAGTTGCTATACTTTTTGTTGAGGTCACCACATGGCTGTGTTGTTGGTCAAGGTCTGGAATTGTTCGCCAAGTTGCTGTACTTTTGGTTGAGGTCGCCAATGTCCTGTACTGTTGGTCAAGGACTACAGGTGGCTGTGCTGTTGGATAAGGTTTTAAAGTAGCTATACTGTTGTTTGAGAAGTTTCTGTACTGTTGATCATGGTCACCAAGTTGTTACACTTGTGGTTATCGTCACCAAGTTGCAGTACTGTTGGTGGAGATCTCCAAGTGGTTGTCTATATAATGTTGGTCGAGGTCGCCAAGTTGCAGTACAGGTGGTTAAGATTTTAAAGTCACCATACTGTTGTCTGATGTCTCAAAGTGTCTGTGTTGTTAGTCAATGCCTTAAAGTCACTATTTTGTTGGATCAAAAAGTTCCTTTACTGTTGATCATGGTCCAGAAGTCGCTATACTTTTTGTTGGTCTAGGTTTTTGTTGTTCCCAGACTTCACTTGGTTACGCTATTGGGGAAGGTCTTAAAGTTAATATACTGTTGATCACTGACAGTTGAGGACACCAAGTCACTGTTCATAATAATGTTGGTGTACTTTTGACTAAAGTCGCTGTGCCTTTGGTCAAAGTTTCAAAGTCATCAAAGTCTTTGGGTCAAGGCCAGCAAGACTAGTGGATTGCTGTTTTCAAATGCTTTAGGCAGTTTGCCACTTGGCCAAAGATCTTTGTCGATTATGATGCCTCAAATTGCCAGATCTTATTGTAAAAGAATGATTTGTGCACCATTTATCACTGTCAGTGTGAAAGCCCTTGTATATCGTGTGGCATGTGATAGAATTTGTAGCTTGTTTTTGCAACAAGTCTTAAGGTCTTTTTAGAGTTTTATTGGAGATGGGCAACTGCAGTTCTAGAGGATTCCAGATTTTTGCTCTCACCCTTTGAAAACATACAGTACTCACATCCTTGACTATACTAGAAGTAATAGCTTTTCCATGTCTGTCAATGGCTCCTTCAGCGACTATGATTATGTTCAACCTTGAACCTCTGGATCGAGTCTGGGGCAATGAACACATTTGTTCCACAAAAACATAAGCATGTTACAAACAGAAGAATAAATTCTGGAAGTGGAAAATCTCTGGGATAAATCCCTTATTTAAACTGTAAATATCTATGTATAACCAATTTTTTAGTAGTTTGTCTTTTTTCAAGTAGTATGACAAGCTCTAGCAAGTAATGATGGAAAGCTATACATTTCAGTGAACATTCTACTTTATCATGAGTGAATCTTAACTCATTTATTAAATAAGCAACAGTTTTAGAATCACTTCCAAAACTGTGTACAACCACAAGCATATGGTTTTGACGATTTTTCAGGTGAAAAACGAGTAAGAATAAATCTAAAAGAAAGTGTGAGCACTAATAACATAAGAAGTATATCACGTGAGCTGCATGTAGATTTAGTAGAAACTATGTATTTTTGTTTTACCGCAGAGAGTTTTTGACACATTTTCTCTTCCCAGCCATCCTCAGGGGGCATTTCAGGAATCAACACCCAGTCAGCTCCACATGCCAGTGCGCTCACCAATGCTAGATAGCTTCATACACAAGCGCATACAGATATAGAAAACAGTGTCTGATTTGACCGTAGAGACCGCATAATTCACTGTTTAAACACAAAAGCCATACCAATAATATATTTTGAACAAATCCAGGGCAAAATGGATTGTGCTAATAAGTAATAATCTTACCCACAATGCCTGCCCATCACCTCCAGCACAAATGTCCTCTGGTGACTGTAAACCACAAAAATATTATTAGCCAATAAATGTGAATCACTCAAACCTTGGCAACAACTTGCACAACTGGTAGCTTTTTCTGCTTTGTTATGTGCTGTCGAAGTACCTTTGAGCTGTAGTCATGATTGCATCCACCACCTCAATGATTCTGTGGAGGGCTGAGTCTGTTCCTATTGTCATGTCGGTGCCACAGAAGTCATTGTCAATAGAGCCCACCATACCCACAATGTGAAGAGCGGAGTATTTCTGAGCCGCCTCCTCATCAATCAGATCTATAATAGGAAAAAAAAAACAAAAAAAATGCAACATGAAAGCTCATAAGATCAAATTCTAGTTAATATTTTTGTATTATTATTTGCATATCGACCTGTTATATATTTATTTTTTTTTTGGACTAATTTAAGCCTAATGCTACGTTCACACCGGAGGCGAATCGCGCATCAAATTCGCGCCTGACGCGTCTACTTTGACGCTTGACCACTTTGTGTTAATTCGCGTGTCAAGAGTGAAACTGACGGTTCACATCAGAAGGGTCCGGAGGACACAAATATATGGCAACGATAATCCCCACGCCACTGTTCTGCTCTCCAGGGTAAATCCAGAGCGGTGACTCTCTCGATGAATGCTTGGTCGACATAAAAACAATGGCCGCCAACGGATTTCGATTCTGACGCGCGTAAATTTCGCTTCAAACTTTTGTTTTTACGCGCGTCAGAATCGAAATCCGTTGGCGGCCATTGGCTTCCAAAAGTTATTAACTTGTCCTGTGATTTTTTTCTCTCTCACGTCCAGACATGAACTTATGCACATATGTTGATTGTCTTTACATCATAATACTATTTCATATAATCTAGATATGGAATGAATAACATTCAATACAAAATGAACATGTCTTGTATATAGAAATAATGTTTTAAATGATAAAATATTTGCTTTGTTGTGCATAATCCCACCATGCATTTAGTCATATTACAAAATAATTTATTGAAGCATCCAGACACTTCACCACGTGAGCAAGCAGCTAGGTAGCTCCTGATTGGTTAACGCGGCGCGAATTCACGGCAAAGTTCAGATTTTTCAACTCGGGCGGCAGACGCGAATTCGCGTCAAACGCGTGAATGCACAAATGGCACAAACTAAATCATTCGCGCATAATGCAGACGCTCAATTCGCACCATTCGCGCGAACTTGACACGCGAATGAGGCATATTCACGTCTTTCGCACCGCAGGAATTTTTTACGTGCGTAACACGTCTTTGCATTGACTTAACATGGAAATCATTCGCGCCTGACGCGCTATTCGCGTCCGGTGTGAACGTACCATAATAGTTTAAATAGTTTTAATTTAAATAGTTACCAATTTTTTTGTACATGGAAAAAAAAACACCCTCAACAAACTAATTGTATTTGTATTGTGTCGTCTACAGCTCATACTTTGCTGGACCAGCTCTGCCAGCAGGCCGCTCCACTCCTCTCTGAAGAGATTGGCCCCGGTCAAACTGCCGTCTCCTCCAATCACGCACAGGTTGGTGATCCCCCTTTTCACCAGGTTATGAGCCGCCTTCAGACGTCCCTCATGCGTGCGGAAATCTTTGCATCGTGCGCTGCCGATAACAGTTCCGCCCTGAAACACAATCACACAAAATCTTAACCATTGTAAACATGAGATTGAAAAGGTATTGGCCCATTACTTGGTGTTTGCTGAATGATCAGAGCACCCATTGATGTTTAAAGCTACACTGTGTGATTTTTACCCCCATCTAGCGGTGAAAAGGTATATGACCATCCAGTGAATATTAGTTTCTATTAGTTTCCTCTCAATTCCGATTTCATTTTAACTCCTACGGTGGCCAATGTAGTCCAAGATTAACATGGCTTCCAGTTCGATCTCGTCCATGAGTGTTAACTCAAATGTAAACGCGAAAGGCGAAGCTTGAATTAACGGGTATGTCCCTCTTTGGCTAATGTACATTCAAGATGGAGGGGCAACATGGCGACCGACATTAGAAGCCCTTCAATGGCATATTATACACTTGCACCTTTAAGATATTTGAGACTTTAATGCAGCCTTGAATTCGTGGGGCCTATGAATAGTAACCGATAACCTTGTGACAGAACGAGCGGAGGTATGTATAAGTGCTCTGAGGGGTCGTATGATTCTCATCACACTCACCACTTGCAGCATGCTGGACACACTCTCCCATTTCGCCTCCTTGATGTTGTCACCTCCATCCACCATACCCTGATAACCCTGTAAGTCACACACACAAACACATAAACAAAATCCTCCTATCCTTCAATGACCTCTTAGTCACCAGAAATGAATTCAATTCTCCAGGTAATCGTACGAAGCAGCTTACTGGGATTGGCACGCAATGTTCTGGCTTGGCTTTGTGTTTACAACATGGCACAATGTTGATATTAAAGATGAAGTGTGTAGTTTCTGCATCATTAACAGCACTTGCAAACAATGACACGATTCACCTTAAAGAATGAGGGTGGAATCAGGAGAACATGGCTGTGTGGGTTTCTTAACTGAAGCCATTGCATAAGAGCACAGTGGGCGAAGGTATTTGGCCTATCACAGCCAGACATCACAGGGCTTACATGGAAAATTCATGTTTAAATGAGGCCAGGTATATAGGCCTTTAACTCAAAACAGTTATGCTATTCCAACAACTCTGTAGTAGATTAATATAATTTATAATGCATGACTTATTTAGCTAAGAAGGCTGTGTGTGTACTCATAATACCTCTTGAGTATTAACATTTCTATATTGGAAATAAATGATTGGCCATTTGGAAAGCGTGAACAGCAACATCGAGAGCCATTAGACCAATATGTTACACAGCACTGACATAGACACTAGTTTGTCTTAATGTTTATATACAGCATGTAAAGACATAGCAGTCTTGGTATCATCTGAATTCTGTATGGATGAACTAGAGACTGACCTCATGAACGAAGTAGACTTTGGCTCCTACATAGATTCCCATGCGGACAACAGCCCGAACAGCAGCATTCATCCCTGGATGTAGAGAAACACCACAAATCACAAATCAACACAAATCACTTCATAGAGGGATATCTATAGTATAATACTAATAAAACAGGTTATAAATGGCTATTTGTTTAGGTTTGCGCTTGATATTGGAATGTGAGTATTATTGCAATGTTTTTGTACAGCATATTATAAAAACTTTTAGGGGAAGTCATTTTCTTCCATATTTGGTAAACTGTTGCTAGCCTCCTCCTATAACTCACTCAGACTTCAATCTTAAAGTACCTCTCTGTGCTAGCAATGGGTAGGAAATATAGCTTTCAATGTCAATACATGATGTCCATGATATACAAAATGGTTAAATCTGCTTTAATATCATTTGTTAAATTTGTGGTACGTGGAAGAGCTTAGAGAACCTGTAAAACTGTAAAAAAAAAAAAAAAAAAAAAAAAAAGAGGAAAATAAATAAATACAAATAGGATTAAACTAAATAAATAAATCTGATTAAAATAAAATAATACAATTTTTGTATTTAAATAAACATAAATACACAAATGATAATAAAATAAATAAATACAAATTATTAAAATAAATGAATACATTTTATTTAAAACATTAAATTAATACTTTTAATTAAAATATAGACATACAATAACAACCATTCAAATAAACTACATTTAAATAAATGAAAATACAAGTAAACTCACTAAAAATGATTAAAAATGTAAAATATTAAAATGAATAAAATGTTATACATTTGATTACACAATTAATTAAAAAAGTTGATTAAAATGATTTTAAAAATAAATAAATCTGATTAAAATAAAATAATAAAATTGTTTGTATTTACATAAATACACAAATGATAATAAAATAAATAAATACAAATTATTAAATAAATAAATATATTTTATTTAAAACATTAAATTAATACTATTGATTAAAATATAGACATACAATACAAAACATTCAAATAAAACTACATTTAAATAAATGAAAATTAAACTTAAAACAATTAAACAATTAAACTTGATTACATTTGATTACACAATTAATTAAAAAAGTTGATTAAAATGATTTCATAAAAAAATACAGCTAACTTTTAACATTAGTTCTAGAGTGAAAACAACAACAACTAACTAACATTTATTTTTCACAGTATTTCAGAGTATTCATTGGGTCTTTATACATTATTATTATTATTATTTTTTTTTTTTTTAGCTGCCTTTCAAATTTTAGGATGGTGGTCCCTTGCACGTGGATGATCATATTTGGGGGTTTGTGGCAAAAAACTGAATAGCCCAAGTAAAAAGTAAAAACCAAAGTTTACATTGGGTTTTACATGGAAAACTATCTTCATTTCATGGGCTATTTTTTTTTTTTTTTTTTTTTTTTTTTGGTGTTTCATATGGGAACAACAATGCTTGGTGGTTTCTAGGTGGTCAATAGTCTTTCTGATATGCTGGTCTGTAGATATAGCTTGGGTTCCTTCTATAATGTAAGTTTCATTGTTCACCAAGTCTGCCCACTGAACATTGGAGGTTGGATAGACATGCAGATCATGTCTATATTGGGTCTGTCGCCCCATGACGAATAATGGACATCTACTCCAAGTCCATACTAGGTCCACTTTTTGGACACCCAACTTGGGCAAAGGTATAATGTAGCTCAAACAGTAGAGCGTTGGCGCTAGCAAAACTCGATCATGGGTTCGATTCCCAGGGAAAGCAAGAACCAATAGGAATGTCAATGTGTAATGCAATGCAAGTAACTTTGGATAAAAGTCTCTGCCGAATGCATAAATGTAGTACTGTATGTCTTCCACCCTTTTGAAACATGGGACTATAGTTAAGTTGTATAAAAGAAAAGAAGTCCACAAACAACCACATTTGGACTATAAATAACCCTTACACGGAGGTCACTAACGTCAACATTAGACGTGCTGTAGATGTCGAAAAAAGACGTTGTCTGGCATTACAGTGGACCGAAATTGGACGTCCAAAAATTACATAGAAAAGACGTCAATCTGACGTCACATTGCGCAGTGGGTCACGTCAGAGAGTTCTAGCAGCCCAACAGGGGCTGAAAAAGAAAAATCAATGACTGAAGGGGTCCATTTTCCCATGATATCAATCTTTTGAGTCTATCAGTTTATCTAAACAGACAACAAATAAAGTGTCAATGAATGAATTCATCTATAACATGCATTCGAGTGACTGGGAAATGTGCACGTATACATCAAGCCACTGAACTGACTAATATTGCATGAGTCTTACATCATTAGTCACTACTGTAGTGACACTGCATTTGGTGACTCATTAACTTCAATGAAATTATATGTAAATGTCTTACCACACATTAACTTACAAACCAAGAACATTTGCATTTATCACAAGCTGCAGAGAAATCTCTTGTGAAAAAAGAAGCTTATATAGTGCAATGTCTGCACAGTCAGAAATAATAATAGGCTTAAAAATAATATAGCCTAGCTGTACTTTTATAAGGGAGCGACTGAAATGGTGTCATAAACTAGGTTTTAATTTCTAAAGGAACTAGTCTTTGCAATGTGGTTGTAAAAGCGCATGTCATGTGCACTTCTGAACTATTTTTATTATTATTGAGTGAAATTACCCTGACTAGACTCGGTTACACAAGTCATTATACAGGTCATATCAGTTAAAAACAGCGTCTTTGGGTATTCAATCCAATGCACGTATTTAATTCTTACAGCAAATGTATAATGTTGAATTATGACTGCGTGAATTTGAACGTGACTTTGGTTTATGAAGGGGCGCGCGCGTCGGTCACATGACTCAGATTCCTGTGACGTAACTCACCGGCTCAAACGCGGCTCCTCACGTACGCATCCTGTCAACGTGCTAAATCCTTAAAACCACACAATTCACCTGTTCTTTACGAAATAGGCCCCTTAATGAAGAAACAAACATGACTTTTAAAAAGCACCAGCACGCGATAAACAGGAAAGTGACTGAAACGCGCAGCAACTTCCTGGTTGAAGGCGAAACAACTTCATATCGATGATTGACAGACAGAAAAGCGCCGACATGAGGTAAAATACATGACGGTTATTCATATTAAGCAAACATAAGCAAGCACCAGAATATTTCAGGCTCGATTGTGGCAGTGAAGATGACATACGTGCTCTTCGTGAAGGTCACGTGATTCCGCAATGCAGTGACATGCATTTGGAAATGCTATTCAATCACATAGCTATACACATCTAGAGACGTAATTAAAAGCTTCCCGTTATCTGAAACAGTTATGACATGAATTAAATCACTGTCATCTGTGATGTAACGTTAGCAGGATGCGCTCAAATGTATTCAGTGTTTGATTTGCATCCTCACCATCATTCTCAGCCTACATTTTTACTGCTATTATTAGCCAGCCTGAACAGCCAGCTGTGGTGGATCTAAATAATGACAGTGACAGACATTCCTATGCCCTAAACCCGATGACCTAAACATCAACCATGTGTCAGTCAAGCGCATCACAATTCAAGATAACGTTATATGACCTTGTGATTAACTGATGGTAGCCATCAATCTCCTCAGGCCCTCAAGGGCCATTTCATCCATTCTAACTATAAGCAAATCGAAGTATGAGGTTCTAACAAAGTTGCATTAATACAGTGCAACTGATATAAAGACGGAGCAGTCCATTTAACACTGATAACAGTGAATCTCGCACTATAATAAGTGCAGCAACAGAAGCATGTCCCAGCATGAACATCAGATGTCATAATGATACCGTGTAGAAAACATTCTGAACATTTCAATAGAAAACAACACGATAATCACGAGTTAAAGTGATCCAATATAGGAAAACGATCATGAGATGTACTGACAGCTTTCTACTGTCACGTTACCTTGAGCATCTCCTCCACTCGTCAACACTGCTATAGATTTCCCAGCGCCCGTCAGGTTCTCAAAGAACTTCTTGTTGTCTGGCTGAGCCATTTTCCCCTTTTTTAATAATTACAATATGTTAAAACAATATTTAATAAATTCAATTCTATATGTAAAGTGCCGGTTGGGGTACTCTTTCCTCCCCTCTCCTCTTCTCTTCTCTCACCAGCGGTCTCTTCCTTCGTCAACCTGCATCAACAGTTTCTGTGACTGACATCTTCTCAGCCAATGGCTGCATAGATCAAGAATTCTTGTCAGGATGTTGACCAATAGTAGACGCTCTCGGCGACGTTTCCGTGTAGGAAGATGATGTGGGCGGGGCCATTATTTTGCATTGGACAAATATGGTTCGGAAAAAAATTCCGGTAACTGTCAGAGGCTGTCAAGAGCATAATAGTTAAACTTTTAATTTACAGTTTGTTACACCTATATATATTTTTTAACCGTGCAATTAAATTATATATTAAAATTTACATGGGCGTGATTACAATCTTGCTAGTCATTTGTGTAGCTTTTAAACCGTTATTTTTAGAGTATGCTGTCGTCTGTTGGTTAGTATACGAACTGCAAGGGAATGTGATTGATGTTTCTAAGAATGAAGATTATATTCTAGTTTAGGCTACTCACAACAGTGACTTTTTAGATTTGTTTTATTCAAAATAGTAATTATTAATATGCAAAAACAAAATATTATTTTATTCATTATAATACACATAGGCTATTCCCGGTTTCACAGACATGGCTTAAAGGAGTAGTTCACTTTTAAAAAAAACTTTTTGCTGATAATTTACTCACCCCCATGTCATCCAAGATGTCCATGTCTTTCTTACTTCAGTCGAAAAGAAATTAAGGTTTTTGATGAAAACATTTCAGAACATTTCACTCTCAGTACAAACTGTAAACTAGTGTTTAAAGGGCTTTAAACTTTTCCAGATGATGAATAAGGGTCTTATCAAGCGAAAGGATCGCTCATTTAATAAATAAATAACAAAGTTTAAGTTTTATAAGCTCAAATGCTCGCCTTGCTCTGTTCTGTGATGCACATTTGTGTAAACTCCATCAAAATGAACAAATCTTTTTCCGAATCAGTTGGTTCATTCAACGAACGAAACAAATGAATTGACTCGGAAAAAGATTAGTTCATTTTGATTTACAAGTTCGAACAGGAGAGTCACAAACGCGCATCACAGAACAGAGCAAGGCTTAAGCTTAAAAACTAAAACTTTTTTTTCTTCGTTTCGCTTGATAAGACCCTTATTCATTGTCTGGAATCTTTAAAGCCCTTTGAACAGTTTGCACTGAAACTGTCTTTTGGACCTTGAACCGTTTGGTTCCCATTGAAGTCCATTATATGGAGAAAAATGCTGGAATGTTTTCATCAAAACCCTTAATTTCTTTTCAACTGAAGAAAGAAAGACATGGACATCTTGGATGACATGGGGGTGAGTAAATTATCAGCAAAAGTTACATGCATTTTGTTTGTTTGTTTAATATACATACTGTATATTTATTTTCAATCCCAACATCATATGAAATTATTGAACAACAACAACATTCAGCACAAAGTGTTCACAAAAAAAGCCCAAAGGCTTGTTAATTGTGGTCCTTACGATGGAAGATGAGTGACAGTACATACTGTAAGAACATTGAGGACAATAAAAAAGGGGGGCATAAAAAGATACAAACAAATAAAACAGATTAAAACACAATACAAAGAATGAAACAAGGGATTAAGTAGATAATACAATATCCCTACTACCTCAAAGATTTTTTTAAATAGGTTTAATAACCAATTTTTTTTATTGAAGATTTAAAATGATAATTGGAAGAGCTCAACAGTTTAAGGTTTAACGGTAAACCATTCCACAAGACAGCTGCAGAGTATAGCCTAGGCCTCCCACACATCAGGAAGAAGATGAGTTCTAGGATGTAATTTAAAGGCCATGTTTCATGTTAACCACCAATGTGGATTAATGGGTACATAAATCACTCAAGATATGTATATCATTTTTAAAATGTCTCAAAAATGGTCTAAAAGACCAGTTTTACACGTTTCTGTAAAACTGAATTCATCAATGAACGCCACCTCCGACTTCCCTAAACCGGAGACAATCCTAGGGCTTTTAGATTGTTCAAAAGAACATCATACTGAACGGTATCAAAGGCCTTTTGTTTCTGCGCCAGATTACTTGCAATGGGCTCTATGCACGGCGTTATTTCCGGTGAAGGATTAAGGATGCTCGATAACTTCCGCCGATCATAGAGTCCAATGCAATACCGAGAATTTATATTGAATTTTTTACTCCATGGTTATACTAATGAAACGTTAGTCACAAAAACAGATAAAACAGACACCCCTCGTTGTGTTTATGCTTCTTTTTAAAATTATATTAAATAAACATAACTATATATAAAATTACATCTAAACGTATGTACGTTTCGTTTCAAAGACGGGAGGACGGTAAATATTGAAGACTCTGCCATAATCCCGTTTTCTCCGATTTTCCTCCGCTTTAATCTACACAACCGGAAATGGACGAGCATCCTTACGTCAAATGCGGAACTTATGCGTGCATATAGCCCATTGTTGTGAAGAAACTATTAAATGTATCTGCCACCACTTTTTTTTATCATACAATGGACCTATTAATATCTAGGCCTTTTTTACCTTGTTTTTGCTCAGGGTTCTCTTTTGCCCCCAAAGGCCTAAGAGTTGCCCACAATTTCTTGGGATCCTTTTTATGCTTCTCAAGTTTAGACATAAAAAAATATGAAACATGATTTTATTCATATTCTTTTTTTTAATTTTTTGTTCAAGTACAGATCATACCATAGAAATACAGTACAGAGGCTATGAAAACTCACATTTTAACAGTAAAATATATAAATAATCTAGAATATACAAAGTACACAACGCAAATGTTCATGGCTCAAAAATGTCACAAATTTGAAACATTTTGTGTACAAGTATAACAATATGTGCATTTCATGACATAATTCTATTTAAAAAAATATAGTAAAAAAATACATAGGCCTATATCAATCAACCTTATTTCACACACACACACACAAAAAAACATAGATTTGAAACGCTTAGCATATTATGTACATTTTCATAACTTTCTTTAAAAAAATATGCATACAATCAAAAGACATGCATAAAGTCTCTAACGGCGCCTTCTGACGGAGCGTTTCTCCAGCCTCTGAAGAATCTCTCTCAGTTTGGAATTAATAATTTCCCACGCACAATGTGAGTGGGACTGAAAAAAAAATAGAAATATATAGACATTTAGACAGGCATAGATAGATCGAGACAGACAGACAGACAGATAGATAGATAGATAGATGGATGGATGGATGGATGGATAGATAGATAGATAGATAGATAGATAGATAGATAGATAGATAGATGGATAGATAGATAGATAGATAGATAGATAGATAGATAGATAGATAGATAGATAGATAGATAGATAGATAGATAGATAGATAGATAGATAGATAGATCGATACAGACAAACAGACAGAGATAGATAGAATAGATAGATAGATAGATAGATAGATAGAGACAGACAGACTGATAGATGAGACAGACAGATAGATAGATAGATAGATAGATAGATAGATAGATAGATAGATAGATAGATAGATAGATAGATAGATATAAAGATAGATAGAGACAGACAGATAGATAGATGGATACATAGATAGATACATAGATAGATAGAGACCGACAGACAGATATAGACAGATAGAGACTTATAGATAGATAGATAGAGACCGACAGACAGATATAGACAGATAGAGACTTATAGATAGATAGATAGATAGATAGATAGATAGATAGATAGATAGATAGATAGATACATAGATACATAGATAGATACATAGATAGATACATAGATAGAGACCGACAGACAGATATGCAGACAAATAGAGACTTATAGATAGATAGATAGATAGATAGATAGAAAGATAGATAGATAGATAGATAGATAGATACATAGATAGATACATAGATAGATAGAGACCGACAGACAGATATGCAGACAGATAGAGACTTATTGATAGATAGATAGATAGATAGATAGATAGATAGATAGATAGATAGATAGATAGATAGATAGATAGATAGATAGATAGATAGATAGATAGATAGATAGATAGATACTCTTACCTTTTTCTTAAGAAAAGCATCTAATTTGTTGAAGCATGTGATCACAGGTTCCTTTTCAACATTGCCAGAGTGGTGAACCTACCAGAGAAAAGCAGACAGCGTGATTATCATGATGACAATAAGCTGTGTGACTGTATCATAACTTCTAACACCGCATCCTGTGATTCTTACGCATTTGCTCAGGGCATGACGGGCGTGACGGAGAGCATCAATGAACGCCCCTGGGTTCGGATTCTCCCTGTACATTGTTTCTGCTTTCTTGACAATGTCGACTAGAAGGACTGCATTATGATCCACCTGTGAATAGCAAAATATTAATTGTATTATTATATTTGACTTATATAAAACACCTTTAATCAGAAATATACAGAAGGATTGCAGATGCACAAACCATATTGACCAGGTGACGTGGATCACACAGACTGTCTTCTTCATAATCAAACGCACAATCATGTGATATCGCAGTGCCCTTTGAAAACACAAAGTTCAGTTCACGTTGAAAGTTTAATTCCAAATACATGCTTAAAACAGAGTTATGGACACTTACCATTGAGTTTAATGACTGAATGAGATGATCCCAATGTATGTGTCTTGTGCACTCCTTATGGGCTTGCAGCAGAGATATAGACATGCAAATGATGATGATTCGAATCCAAACCATATTTCCTGAAAGCGTGGAAGAGCAAGAATCTTCATCATTATAAGAATCGTTTAAACACTCATGCAAAAATGAATGTAAAATGTGTATTTGACAAGAAAGTGCTCACCTTCTGTTGTTGTTCTGCTTGTCAGGAGATGCTGAGATGCTGATGTGACACTGCTGTTCTGCTGTGCCTTTTATAGCTCGAGGACTGTCACCTACTGCACCACACCTGCCATTCTGGGTCAAAATGAAACGGGCCAGAAACACTGACCACACCTGTCAGGTAAGGTAATAATGAAACAGGACATATTTTTTTGGATGCCCAAATTCTGGTATTCCTCAAGGAAGTTCCTGTCAGTGGAAAGTGTGGGGGTGTT